AGCGACATTTTGTTTTCCATACATAGGCCACTTACTTTTATTTTTGACACTGTAGTTTTCCTGTTTCCAAATGATTTAGACTTGATCCCATCTGCTCCTCTTACCCACTTGGTCTCTAATAGCTGAAACACACTGCGGACTGGTAATCATCTCCGCCTGGCAGGGAAGGAACAGGCTAACCTGAGGGTACAATTTTACCTCTGCTCTCACAGTTCCAGGGGTCTGGCAGTAAGGGTTGGTGTGAGAGCTGGGCACCCTTAGAGAGGACTAAAGGGGTGACTCATTTTTCACAGCCCACTCAGTGCCATTTCCCAAGCAGCTGAATCGTTTCAGAAAATGGTGTTTTGGAGAGGAAAGAGAGGCGAGGAGGGAAGAGGGAGAAGGGCGGAGCTGCTTGTGCATACATATGCTGCAGAATCACAGGAAATGCTCTTTTCTCCTTCTCTTGTTTTATTTATTTATTTATTTATTTATTTATTTATTTTTGTTTTATTGTTAATGTTTTTATTTATTTATTGTTAATGTTTTCTATTATGAAGCTGATTCAGTTTAATGACTCAAGGGTTTCCTTTGACATCTCTTCTTTTTTCTTTGTGCGTGTGCACGTGCACGTGGAGATCAGGAGTCAACGTTTGGTTTTTCCTCAATTGCTTTCTACCTTAGATTTTTAGAGAGTCCCTCAGTGAACCTGGAGCTTGCAAATTTGGCTAGACTGGCTGGTCGGTGAGCCCTCGGCATCCACCTGCTTCCTGACGGGATTATAAGAGCTTTTATGTGGGTTCTGGGGGATGAACTCAGGTCCTTGTGCTGTGCAGCAGACATGTTACTGACTCAGCCATCTTCCCAGCCCCTAAAAAACCTCTTTTTTTGAAGGGGTCTTTTTGAGACAGGGTCTCCCTGTAGCCCCAGCTGACCTTGAACTCACTATGTAGTCCAGGCTGGCCTTGATGTCACAGAGATCCACCTGCCTCTGCTTCTGCCTCCTGAGTGCTGGGATTAAAGTTACACACCATTACACTTGCTTGAGGTTTGCTTTTTAAAAAATATTTTATTTATTTTTAATTTTATGTGTATGGGTGTTTGGCCTGTATGTAAGTGTACCACATGCCTGCAGTGCCCTCAGAGGTCAGAAGAGGGTGTCAGCCTCCCTGGAACTGGAGTTACAGATGGTTGTTAGCTACCATGTGGGTTCTGGGAAGTAAACCTGGGTCCTCTGCAGCCAGTGCTCTTAACTGCTGAGCCATTGCTCCAGCCCCTTCAGATTTGCTTTTTGAGGTAGGAACACATGTAGCCTAGTTTGGCCTTGAACTTGAGAAGATGACCTTGAACTCCTAATCCTTTTCCTTCCACCTCTCAAGTGCTGGAATACATATGTGGGTCACCTGCCTGGTTTACCATTCACATGATGATAAATGGGTACAAGAGCAAATGAGCAAGCTGTACAGTGCTATCCTAAGGAAATAATAGGGATTTGAGCTGGGCGTGGTGGCACACGCCTTTTATCCCAGCACTCAGGAGGCAGAGGCAGGAGGATCTCTGTGAGTTCAAGGCCAGCCTGGTCTACAAAGTGAGTTCAAGGTCAGCTGGGGCTACAGGGAGACCCTGTCTCAAAAAAACCAAAAAAAAAAAAAAAGGATTTGAGGTAACACAACTACTTTATTAGAGTCTCAGCTGTAATAATATTTTCCTCAAGAAGAGAGAGGGAAAGAGAAGGAGAGAGGGAGAGAGGGAGAGAGGGAGAGGGAGAAAGAGAGAGAGAGAGAGAGAGAGAGAGAGAGAGAGAAACCAAAACTAACCCATAAAACTCTTTAAGGACTGGGAATGTAGATCAGTAGTAGAGCACTTACCTAGCATCCTAGAGGCCTCTGGGTTCTATCATCCAAATAACAAAAAAAGCCCACCTCATAACATGATATGGTTTGTGACATGAATGCTCTATCTTTAAAGCCTCGAGAAAAGGTTACCAAACTCAACACGTGCAGGCTCTCTAAACACATGCTGGTATTTATCACAGTTGCCTAAGAGTTCCAGATCATCTTATAGACTCAGAAGGGGTGTCCTTCCTGTTCACTTCATCATCTATTTAGTCTTCTTATTCACAGATGAGTAAATAGAGGCCCAGAAGGGGCTATGTGCCTTGTCTAAACAGTTAAGAAACACAGCTAAGTGCTGTCATAATTGTGCTGTATTGCCAAAAAAAAAAAAATCCCTCAATTATTCTGGGTTCTGAAGTGTTTACTTCAGCTCAAATCAAGAGCTACTTCTATCCAGTTGTATACCCACTGGTGAACCCATTGGGCTCTATAGTTAGTACAAAGTCAGGGTCACACAGATATCCTTAGTTAAACTGTGTGGGACACTAAACAAAACCCAAACTAGTAATACAGAAGTTTGTAAGGAAGAAGGGAGGCTGGCAGGGGTGGAAGGGAAATAAGAAAGCAGGGAGAATGACCAGACTACATTATATACATATGTGAAATACATGAACGTGAACTTATCAAAGATCAAAATGTATTAGTAAAATGTTAACTCCACTAAGTTCCTGATTCTAGCACCCAGAGAGTGTGATGGTTCAGAAGACGAGACAGATCAGCACGTCCAAAGTCATTCTGCGGAGTCCAAAGGTGGAGTGAAACTTTAGCGTTACCATGGTAACAAACCAACTGGATTGATCCTGAGGCAACAGAGGAAACCACATGGATCTGGATTTTGGAAACATGTTACAGTTTTTAAGCCATGAAAAAAAATCAAAGCAACATCTATCACAGTAAGCAGGTCTCTGGTTGGACAGTAGTAGGTTTAGGACAACTGTGAGGACTCTGTCTCAAATTTTAGTGCTCTTTCAACAAAGTGGATTGACTAAAACTAGATTGAAACCAAAACTCTGTTCTTGGTTCCCCTTGTCCCTCTCTCCTCTCCTCTCCTCTCCTCTCCACTCAGCTTCAGTCATTTCCAGAATCAAAACTTTCCCTCAATTAAAATACACTCATATGGAACAGTGATCCAAGCTTTCCTTAGTACTCATCAGAAACTATCCACACAAGCAAGGTCAAAAGAGACATAGGCAGTACTCTGGAGTCCCACTGTACCCCATCTTTCTTGGAAGTCACCACGAACCCCCTGACAGTCCTCACCAAGTGGAGACAAAAGCCTAAGAAAGGGGACTCTCCCTAAACTGCAAAACATCAACTTTAGTCTGACATAATTTATTGACTGGTTGCTTGGAAGTTGCTATGTAGACCAGGCTGGCCTCAATCTCACAGAGATCCACCTGCTTCTGCCTCTTGAGTGCTGGAATTAAAGGCGTGTGCCACAATGTCTGGCTGATTAATTTTTTTTTTTTTTAAAGACAGGGTCTCATATGGCCCAGCCTGACCCCAAACACACTACGTTGTAAGGATGACCTGGAACTCCTGATCCTCCTGCCTTCATTTCCCAAGTGCTGGAAATACAGTTTACACTACCATGCCCTCAGCTTACAATGTATCCTTTTTTTTTTTTTGGTCTTTTTGAGACAGGGTCTCCCTGTAGTCCCAGCTGTCCTGGAACTTACTATGTAGACCAGGCTGGCCTTGAGCTCACAGAGATGTGCATGCCTCTGCCTCCTGAGTGCTGGGATTAAAGGTGTGTGCCACCACACCTGGCTCTACAATGTATTCTTAACCTGACCAAAAGCACACAAAGACTTCCAAATAATAAAAATAAAATAAATAAGCAGAAATACCAACTTTTCATATAATTTCAAAAGTGATAGGCTCTTTCCACATACTCTATAAACCACACAGAACATCTATTTATAAACCATTATTTAGGTCAGAATAAAACAGCCAGATTTAAAACCGGGCAAGTTTTAGTATCTGTAAAAACTACTGAAAAGAATAAATACAAAAGGGCTAAAGTAAGAAGTCGACAGCAGCTTTGGAAAACAATATTGACAAGTTTCTAAAATATTACTAGTGTTAAAGAAGGTTTATTTATTTTTGTTTTTTTGGTCTTCTTGAGACAGGGTCTCCCTGTAGCCCCAGCTGACCTGGAACTTGCTATGTAGATCAGGCTGGACTTGAATTCATGGAGCTCTGCCTGCCTCTGCCTCCCCAGTGCTGGGATTAAAGGTGCATGCCTGGCATGAGGAATGTTTATTTTTGTATAATAACTATTTTTCTTCAATATCACCAACTTTCAGTTTAAAATAAAACTGATGCTGGGCGTGGTGGTGCAAGCCTTTAATCCCAACACTTGGGAGGTAGAGGCAGGCGGATCTCTGTGAGTTCAATGCGACCAAAAAGAAAAGACTGATACATTTAATTCAGCTACTTATTTTCCAGCTACAAATCTATTTTAAATATGGTCACACATATATAAACATCTGGGAGAGTATAGCAAAACAGCCTTGCCATTTGTAAGTTCTAACACTTTAATAAGCATAATTATTTCTTAGTCATCTCAATCTGCTGCAGGTTTTGACAATGTGAAAACCAATGGTATAAAAACTAACTTCAGTAAGACAAATAATCAAGTCAAATTGTGTTAAGTCTATGCTTTTCTCCAACTACTTTCCGTTAAAGCCAATTCTCAGTCAAATTCAAGAAACTATGTCAATATGTTTTAGAGCATAAAAAAGTTTGAGCATGCCACTAACAGAACCAACTTGTAAAAGATTACAAAGATGCTATCTTGAACATTTTACTGGAGTAAGTTGCATAAATTCATGCAACATATGCCACTCAGAGTAAAGAGGAAGGAACAGCATTTTAAACAACTCCACTTAGGAAACTGGATACCAAATGCTCCCCTCTTCTGTAGTTAAATCCCTAGTTAATAATATCTTTTATTCTATATACTAGAGCTATAGAATTAACCAGCCACAAAGAAGAAAAGAGTACAATGGAAATCTTGTTTCAACAGAGCCCAAGCTGGGAAGGGCCGCGCAGCAAACATCTACATGTTATCTCATTTGAACTATCTGCTAACAGCAGCAAGAAAAGAGCATGCGTTCTTACCAATGAATTTCTGAGGCATTGAGCTTTTTCGTTTTGCCACATTGCTTGCTAATCTGTCCAGAACGAGAGCTCTTTCACTTCCCATCTCTGCTTTGATGTGTCTTGCCTCCGCACTTGCTGCTTTGAAAAAATATAAAAAGAAAAGGGAAAAGAACACATTGGTAAATGGGGAGAAAAAGAAATTGGCTGGAAGAAGACTGCGAGGTCTGATGCACAGTGCTGTCATCACCTGTTGTCCTACCCCTGGGTACCTGCTGTGGTCAGTGAGGCCGACTCCAGGGGGCACATTCAAATCTTGCAGTCTTATGCTGAGATGGGAAAGCCTGACCCATCCCCAGCCAGTACCTTCATTAGCAAGAGGAAGTATTGAAGAAACAGCCTGGACGTGGTTGGTTGCAAAAAGATAGATAGATGGAGATCTTCTAACCCCCATCAGCCTTCTTTCTGATTCTGAGTAACTGCATGTGACACCTGCACACTGATATAATTCTTCTTAACAACTTTGAAAAAAAAAAAAAGCAAGGTGCTCCAGATTTAGTGCTCTGTTTATGTTAATGGTACTTTTGAAAATAGATACACTCACCCAGAGAGCAAGAAATCTACACAGTGATTTGGGTATTGAAATACTGAGTCGTTTTTTCTTCAGTACGCTCCTCTCAGTTCTTATCTTTCAAATTCGGTTTCTCTGAGCTCTGATCTGTTTTCATACGTTCTTCACAGTTCACAACTATTTCCATGAAAATTTCCCTGAGCCACACTGTTGTCTTGAAATTACAGTGTATATAATGCATTTCTATTATATTTTTAATGAAAATGAGAATAGAAACTGCCTGAGAATGTGGGTTAATTGTCAATCCACAAATAGACATTTGTGTGGCACAGGGTTCTTAGACCTGGCTGCACAGAATTGCCTGAGTGCCTGATGCACACGTAAGAAATATCTAAGCCTAGGTTCCCTTTTCACCTTAGTGCAATCAATTCTCTGGCAGAGAGGCCGGGGCAAGAGTGTTTTTAAATCTCACCAGATGATTTTAAAAGGCAGCTGCAGTGGGGCACGGTGGCTCATACATGTAATTTGAGACTAAGGCAAGAGGATTGCCATGAGTTTGAGACTACCTTGGACTACATAATGAGTTCAGGTCAGCTTAGGCTACAGTGTGAAACTCTGCCTTAAAAAAAAAGAAAAGGTCAGGGCTATATAATGAGGCTATCTCAAAAAAAAAAAAAAAATAGTGCCAATACCTAATTCACTAAATAGTAGACTGGAATAAATAGATTATAATTTACCTTGGTATAGCAGACTGTACCCAATAAGACATCATGGCTAAAGATCAGAAGACAGACATTAGTTGCTATAAATACAAGGTCTAAAAGTTTAGTACACAATGCTTGCCTAAGATAGGGATCAGCAAGCCATTTCAGTGAAAGACCAGACAGTAAATATTCTATGGTATTATTTATTATTGTTATTATTTCTTAGACAGGAGTTCACTGCTGTGTAGCCCAAGGCTAGACTAAAATACATGATTCTTCTGCTTCAACCTCTCAAGTACTGAGATTACACATGTGTACTACCTGCTCAGCTGGGTAGCAAATATTTTAAAATTTGTGGGACATATGATCTTTGTCTATGTTTGTTTTCTGTCCTAGATTCCTTAAAAAACATAAAAACTGGGCTAGGGAGATGGCTCAGCCAGTAAAGTATTTATCATACAAGTATGCGAACCTGAGTTTGGATATCCAGGACCCACATAAAAAGCCAGTATACAGGCACAAGCCTAAAATCTCAGCACTGGGGAGGTGGGGACAGTAGGATCCTAGAGGCTTGCTGGTCAGCCAGGCTAGCTGAATCAGGTTCAGTGAGAGACCTTGACTCAAGAAATACGGTGGACAGCGATTGAGTATCCCAAAGATGACTTCTGGCCTCCAGGAACACCTTGCAACACACATATGAACACACACACGTGCATATAACACACACACACGTACACAATAAATCAATATTAAAAACTCTGTACATCAACAAATCGCTGGTTGCACTTGGCCCTAGGACTGTAGTTTTTGTGCATCTCTGCCCTAGCAAACATATTGTGATACTATTACTATTTCTCTGTTTTGTGTAAGCATTTCAGGAAGTCCAAACTAAAATGATGCATCCAAATATGTCTAAAGTCTCTAGGGAAGAAGAAAATGAAATTAGTTTAAGAGACTGGAGTCAAAAGCAAGTGATAGCTACAGAATGAGATGTCCCGGCTCAGTATACACACAGATTTGAGAACGCGGCACTCATTCTGTAGTTGAAGAGTATGAGGCATCTGCTGGGTTATATCTGCTGTACAGATATAACGTCACAAATTCCATGGCCTGTCAGACACTCAGTAACACAAGTGGACCTGTCCAGGAGGACAAGAACTGGCCACTTCTGCAGTAAATGAATGACAGAGAAAGACCTCCAGGGCAAGAATGTCAAGACTGGCTAGAGAGAGAATCAATGCCAATTAGAAGAAGATCATTCAAAGTAGGCATGATTTTCTACTTTATTACCAATATTAAAAGAATTCTATTTTATATATTAGACAATATAAAGCTCTATGTGCTTTTTAAATTCAGTAATAAAGGCAATCTGGCTCCAAAAATGAAAAAAAAAGAGAAAGAGTATGGTGACAGTGTCATCATTGACTTTGACTCTTGTCAGCAATAGTTCTTGGTTCTAAAGAAATACATGACTGCTTCTGGTCTAGCTGTCAGCTCTCTGTGTACAAGAAAACGCCAGGATCCTAACTGTAGGCCTGGGCAGCTTTGGACTAGTGGTAAAGGACTTGGACTTTGGACTTGGGGACAGAACACTATTACTGAATGAAGCAGGTCACATTCCATCCAAGTCCAGGGATAGGTTAAAATGACCAAACAGGAAACTATCACATATATTATTTCCTTTCACACAAACCATCACCAGATGTGGCACTACCCAGAGCCCCATGAGCAGAGAGATGAAAGAGAGAGCCTGGAATTTGAAGCATGTTTCCATCACAAGCAGTTGTGTTGTTTTTGTTTCTGTTTTTCTTTAGAAGCAAGGAAAGGTACCTAAGTCTGTACTTTAGGAATGTTCTCTCATTTGAGCAATTCTGACAGGATTAAATGCCCCACTCCTGCATCTGTTATCAAAAAGATTTAAATTCAAATGAGGATAAAAGATACTTTGGGGGCCTGGAGAGATGGCTCGGTAGGTAAGAGCACTTGCTGCTCCTGCAGAGGACCTAGATTCAGTTCCCAGCATCTACATGGTGGTTCACAACTGCCTATAACTTCAGTTCCAGAGGAGCTGGCACCCTCTTCTGGCCTCTGTGGGGACCAGGCATGCACTTGGTATACAGACATACATATAGGTACTCACAAAAAATAAAAATAAATAAATTAAAAAAGATACTTTGAGGCCAGGTGTGGTGGTGCAGGCCTTTAATCCCAGCACCGGGGAGGCAGAGGCAGGTGAATCTCTGTGAGTTCCAGGCCAGCCTGGTCTACATACTGAGTTCCAGGCCAACCAGGGCTTTCTAGAGAGACACTACCTTAAAAAACAAACAAACAAACAAACACCCAAGCTGGGCATGGTGGTGCACACCTTTAATCCCAGTACTCAGGAGGCAAAGGCAGGTGGTCTCCATTAGCGAATCCAGGCCAGCTGTGGCTACAGGGAAACCTTGTCTCAAAAACACCAAAAAAAAAAAACAAAAAAAAAAAACAGTCTGGGGGGGAGCTAAGGGGGAAAAT